AACCAACGTATGAAAAACGCTACTACAAGCTACTTGATCGTTAACCTTGCTATCAGCGGAATCCTGGCTTCAGTTTTTGTAATTTGCATAAATTTGGCCTTTAAGATAATGCTCCCTGATCATAGGATGCCATATGTTAACGATATTTTTGGTTCAGTCTTTTGTACATCATTCTCCTTTATGGATACTTTTTGTCACAACCTTGCTATGATGTCATTGACAGTCATTTCCGTTGATCGCTTTCTCGGTGTTCAGTTTCCACTGAGAAGAATCATCACTTATTCTCGAGCCAAGAAAATCATTGGGTTTATTTGGCTTTTGGCATTTTTGGCTATGAGTCCCAAACTGTACGGTGTTAGGGCCAAGAACAGGAATGATAATCTTGTCTGTTTTACATCTTGGGATCCCTTTCCTAAAAATACAAATATGATAATGTTGATCATCCAAGTTGTCGTATTCCATGTTACACCACTATGTATCATGGCTGTATTGTATTCAATCACAGCCCGTAAATTATGGGTTCGACGTATCCCTGGCAACGTAACAGAAGCCAATCAACGTCTTGAACACAAAACCAAGGTGAACGTCCTTAAGATGTGCATAACTGTGGTGGTGGTATTTGCTTTTTGTTGGATTCCATTGTACACGGTTATGGTTGTTAGTTATACTAATGTCTTAGTTTGTCCTATACCAAGGAAGGTCACTGATGTCTTGTTTTTTCTGTCGCTAACATCATACGCCATTAACCCCTTAATCTACTTCATATTCAGTAAAGATTATCGCAATGGTTTCTGGGACATCTTCAAGCCTTTGTTAGCGTCTTGCAAGCCATCACTTCGTCCTCCCATTAGCCAAACCATGGAGATTACTGACATCAGATCAAGTGGTATGTCAATACTATACGATAATGAAGTCAAACTACTCAGTATCCGAGAGCTCAATAACAGATGCGACACAAACTTGTAGAATTTTCAAAATCTATAAAAAATCTAAATATTTCGATTAGTAAATAATGACTTTAGTTGTTTTATATAGCGATTTATATGTAAATTAAACTCTGAAGCACTCAAACAAATCTGACATATATAAATACATAAACTTAAAAAAAGGAAGAACTCTCATCACGTTCAAAATGTAAAAATAGTGAAAACCAGAATTTTCTGAATTTTGTCAGTCCTGACGATGCTGTAGAACAGCGAAAGCTCGACTTCATATAAAGTGTATCAATTATCTAACAGCAGTATCTTTGAAAACCAGAATTTTCTGTATTTTGTCAGTCCTGACGAT